AGAAAACTGGCTGCCCATGGCTGTTAAGTAACTTGTCTAAAGTCGTAAGAATATAAAGTAGTGATTCTGAGGTTCACACTTTGTAACTCTTCTGGGTCTATGATGATGTATTATAACCGACCATCACTGTCTCTCCTGTTCTCTTCACAGCAGAACTGGCTTTAGTTTGGGGATTTCTTCCTGGCTTTGAATCTAAGTGTATGGGTGATGCTATTAAAAAAAAAAAAAAAAAAAAAAAGCAAGCTAGTAAAGACTTCAAAAGAACAAAGTGCCCATGGTTTCTGCACTGTCGGCACTGAGCCTGACGTGGGGCTTGATCCCCTGAACCATGAGATCATGTCCTGAGACTAAATCAAGAGTTGGATGCTTAACTGACTGAGCCACCCAGGTGCCCTTGACAGGCACCACTTTTAAGTCAACCTTCGGTCCTTCTCCTACACACAGTGAACTTGTTTCAAAGAGGTACAAGTGAAAATATAATACATTTTTATAAAATTGATTTGTTCCAGAAAGCCAAATAGGGCTTTTGGATAAAAAAAAGTAAAAATAAACCATTTATTCTAAAACTTCCCAGAAAGTACAATCCAACAAGATGAGAGACAAAGTATTAGTCATTACCCCTTTTTTTTTTTTAATGTTTTTTATTTATTTCTAGGAGAGAGAGAGAGACAGCGTGAGCAGGAAAGGGTCAGAGAGAGAGGGAGTCACAGACTCTGAAACAGGCTCCAGGCTCTGAGCTGGCAGTCAGCACAGAGCCCGACGCGGGGCTCGAACCCACGAACCGCGAGATCATGACCTAAGCGAAAGTCGGATGCTTAACCGACTAAGCCACCCAGGCGCCCCTAGTTATTATCCTTTCTTAAGATATTTGAAAACAGAAAAAGTAAAATTAGATAAAAAATTATTCATATATATTTTTAAAACCCATCGATAGTATGCTACCCTTCATACAAAAAGAAGGGGACATAAGAGAAAAACTACAGGTACCTGCTCATTTCTGCAAAAGAAACACAAGAAGTATAAACCAGGAAGAAATGTGACTGGTGACCTACAGGAGGTAGGTAAGAAGAAGGTGGAAATAATGTGAAATGGCAACAGGCTAGTACAAGGAGGGGGAAATAACACTTTATGCATCCTTTTGTACAGTTTCAGAATCATGGTAATATTTCACCTACCGCAAACAAACAGTTAAAAGCAACCAGAGTGGGGGGGGGGGGAAGTAACCCTAAATGGCATCCAAACATAACAAAAGAACATAACTGCAATATAAATGAATAACATAAGCATACTGAAGGGAGCGATGACACAGAACTGACCTAAGTTGGAAAACAGTGTTTTCAATGTATGCCGTGAGGCTAGGGACTACAGGAACTTCTACACAAATACTTCCTGCATTTACAAAGTGTGTTTTTCACAGGGGTGTGGGTTAGCAATTTTGAAACCACTTTCTGTGTAACCTACAATTAAGCAAATAAACAAACACATCGTGGATAAGGAGAGAGAGGTTTCTCACTGCTGGAGAAAGCAGTTTTAAAAAAGCGAAGGGAGAAGGTGAGGATGAACATAAGGTGCTGGATAGGAACCAGGGGTGTCAGTACGTGCTCCTAGCTTTTAATAGACACACGGACTAATACAGCACACATACAGCAGTGTATACGTGCATTCTGTGGTACATCTATTTCCTAGCTCCGTCAAGTTAAGAGGTTCTAGAAGCAATAATGTTCCACAGTGTGAGTATACCTGGCACTCAGATCTTGGTTTCTAAATACTGTTTTCTAATAAGAAATCAGGGCTCCTTGGAAAAATGGCTGATTCCAGCCCTGGGGTGGGGAAGCTACAAAATGAGCCTAGAGCATCTTGTACCAAAAGTAAGGAAGTGCTTAAAAAACAAAGGAGGGGGTGCCGGGGTGGCTCAGTTGGTTAAGGGTCTGACTTTGGCTCAGGTCATGACCTCGTGTTTGTGGGTTCAGGGCCTGCGCTGGGCTCTGTGCTGACAGCTCAGAGCCTGGAGCCTACTTTGGATTCTGTGTCTCCCTCTCTCTCTGCCCTTCCCCCCTCAAAAAGTAAATAAACATTAAAAAAAAAAAAAAAAAAGGATGTATGTTGAAAACACACAAAAGCCAGGTTAAGAACCTTTCAATGACCACACCTGGGACAATTTGACCAATAAAGTAAGAAGAACAATAAATAATAACCTACAAAATACAATAAATACCGATGGCTCTACACTATTATAAATAACTGAATAAAAGGGAGAAGAGGCAGCCCTTCCTTATGGCAGAATTCCAATTAAGTTGTAGAAGGAACAGTGGAAATAGAGAAATCACCACTAGGCAAATCCTACAGTAATAACTGTTGCATGGAAATATTACTCATGGATCAGGGGTGCCTGGTATCCTGCTTGTGTTTTCTCTCAAAATAAATAAGCTTAAAAAAAATCATTCATGGATCAGTGATGCAAAAGACACCTGCATGGTCTTCTAGTAGTTAGATCCCTCCCAGTGAGATACTTAGTAAGTTAAAAATAGCAACTCTATAAAGAAGAACATGGCAGACCCCCACCTTAACCATGTGAGCATCATCAGGATCATGGACCTTCTGATGATGATGAACTGTTAAGGGCACAGGATCACTTACATGGTATTCTTCAAAAAATGCATAACCCCAATCTAATCATGAAGAATATCAGATAAACCCAAAATGAAGTACACTCTAAACCAGCCAGTTGTCGGCAAAGTGTTAAAATCATGAAAAACACAGGAAGGCTGATGAATTGTCACAAACTGGAGACTACTACTGGAGGGACAGAATACAGCGCTGGATCCTGAATCTGACCATGGACCAGGAAAAGGACATCAGTGTGGCAACTGATGAAATTCACACAAGATCTGTAGAATGATATTAAAGTTTATTTATTTTGAGAAAGAGAGGGAGAAAGCACGTGTTAACGAGAGGGAAAGGGGCAGAAAGAGGGGGAGAGAATCCCAAGCAGGCTCCATTCTGTCAGCACAGAGCCTGATGCCAGCTTGATCCCACGAACTACGAGATCATGACTTGAGCCAATACCATGAGTCAGACACTCAACCGAGTCACCCTGGCACCCCAATAGTCAAGAGTATTTTATCAATGTTAATTTCCTAATTTTGATAAATGCAGTGTGATGAGGGAAGATGTTAACAGGGGGAGCTGGATGAAGCATACAAGGGAATTTTCTCTACTAGTTTTGCAATTTGTCTATAAGGCGAAAATGATTTCAAAACAAAGTTAAAAATAATGACTCCCACCAAAATTACTACCAAAAGCAAGATCCGATTTAATTTAGCCTGCCCCAGAGTTAACCCTGCAATGGTAGTTTTGTGGCACTGTTCAGTGCTGTTTCTTTTAATTTGGTTGACAAAAGCCTCCAGTTAAAAAATATATATTATAATTGTTGAATCTGGGGAGTTACTCTATCATAGGAAAAAAACCTCTAGTTTTCTAGATGTTTGAAAATTTTCATAATAAAAAATTTTAATATCTGTTATAGATAACCTTTTTACATACTTGCTAATATGCTGAAAATGATGTTCTATCATTCTTGTAACCTTCGTAAAAATTTAGAATTCTATCATGGAACATTCAGGGCTAACAGGACCTTAAGAAATCAAGACGTCTAACCCTGTCTCATCGTAAAGGAAGCTGGAGCCCAGAAAGGCAAGGGCTAGTTAGAGCTGTTGAAGCTAGAATCCTGTCTCTGACTCCTGGGCTAGGTATTTCTCCAACATTATACACTTGAGCTTCTCTTCATTTATTCTAAAACATACCAAGAATGATAGCTACCTAAACACTTCGACTGCAATAGTACTGTAATGTTATTTATAACTGTTTCCAACTAAATAAGTAACTCAACTTGAACTAATTTGCCAGACTCACGGGAATGAAATATGGGTCTCAAGTAGTATATACAAATGGGAAAGATAAGAAAATCAACCATTCTAGTTTACTGTTCTAAGTGAACTCTTTATTTTAAATGGGCCTTTTATAATAGTTCATATTGCCATCCTTGTTGAGTGCGTTGATTGTTTTCTTAGTGGAAGTATTTTTCTATGTTTTCTCACAACTCTTTTTTAAAAAGTACTTCAAGTTCAGTGAATGGCATCTTTCAAACATCTATCCGTGCCGAAAGCACCTAGTGAACACCAAATCTGTGTAGGGCACTATAGGTGATGCTGGAAACAAAAAGATTTAAAATGATTCTGGTCCTTGTCAAGCTGTCTACTGGGGAAATGGGCAAACACTGATTACAATTCAAAGTGACAAGCAGTGTACACCACAGGACATACATCGTGCTCCGGGAGGAAGAGTGATCAGGTACCCAGTCCTTGGGAGTATCCTTCTCCCCAACTTAACAAGTGAAAAAAATGGAATAGTCACCCAATAAATGGAAAAGTAAATGTGAACCTAGATCTCCTGACACAGAACAGAGTGAACACTATTATCCAATTTTGATGTAACTAAAACAATGAACTTTTTCATCTTGAGAAAAGCCAGTGAGATGGGTTTGGGAGCTCCGAAAGGAATTATAACCCAACTGCTCCGTTTAGTAACTCTCTAACCTTGAGGAAATTTCTCTGAACCCACTTCTCTGAACTCACTTTTCTCACCTGGGGATAATAAATCTTATCTCATAAAATTATTATGAGAATAAATGAATAAATACATAAGGCAACTAACATTGCTGCTGGCACATCATGGAGTCCATAGACTTGGACTTGATGGATGGGATTACACTTTCTGGGTCTACAGAAGCTGGTACAGTAAGTACCTAGCATAGACATGTTGGATGAATATTTACCAAATAAAGTCATTATTAATAAATGTTGAATTTAAAACTATTCTTGAGTTGAGCTATATTCAGTTGTTTATTTCTATAAACAAAGTTTTAAAAAGAAACCTCCATTTTATCCCCATAAATGGAACCCAACTTTCAAGGACTACTTTGCTGTCACGGCAATACTTACTTTCTACTATTGCTCCTTCGTTTGGGTTTGAATATCCTTCTCCTTTCTGTTTGATTCTTCGGATAATGCCTCCATCTTCAAATAAATCCTCTCCTTTGAAATCAAGGAGCTCAATCTAGAAAGGAAAAAAGGATTTGGCTGAGAAAAGACCAAACAGAGCCAGCTTAACATACTTAACGACAAGGACAACTGATTCTCCTTTCATTTTATACAAAATAATACTCTTTTAATATTTATCTATGCATCTCAGTTATTGGAAAAGTAGGGAAAAAAAGAATACTGCACTTTCAATACCTGGAAAGAGCCTTCACGTAACGATAATGTCTCGGACTGCATCCTGTGGGGCTGCAGCGCACAGACAGACAGGAAATACTAGGAAAGCTGCCTTGTGGGCAAAAAGCCAGGGCTACAAGGTGCTGCCCAGAACTGTTTTGTCTGACTCTAGAGGCCACCACCTTTCCACCCCAGATTCATGGAATTCCCTTTGTAAATGTAAAAATAAATCCTATGAAATCAGACCTACAACCAACTAAAGGTGTGGGGGTTTTTTGTTTTGTTTTGTTTTACCTAGTTATGACGTTTCAGGCATTTCCTCCCTTAATTTTTTAATCAGACTTGGACAAATCTATGTACTTCAACACAGGATGAGTAACATTATCACCAGCTACTGCCTCTAATGAAGAAGTGAGATCGGTGACAAACTGTAAGCCTGCAGAATATGAAAATACCTTACCCTTTGGTTTAGTTATATTTCAACACTGGTCTCCCACATTTTCAACCTGTCTTCTGGTCAACTTTGAGTATGTTACACTCACATCACTGACCAGAACCTTTCCTTCTAAGCCTGGTGTCTTTTGTTTATTTGTAGATGACCTTTCTGTGCCAAAAACACGTTTCTAAGAAAGCACTGGCACACACCCCTTGGGTTTGTGGGAAACAATTCAAGAAGCCAAGCTCCAAAATAAATAAGTTGGATCTGATTCTCAATAGCAAGCTTAGCTCCTTGTTCCACTGTCTCTTGCTTCAGAGCCAGCACCAGAGTAGAACAGATGCTAACAAGGCAACATCACACACATATTTACCTCAAAAAAGAGAGTTGCATTCGAGGGAATTTTGGGGAGACTGCCAGCCGAGCCATATGCATATTCTGGTTTGCACAGTAAATGGCAAATCTCCCCTTTCTTCATGGTAGCCACCCCAATGTCCCAGGCCTTGATAACTTGGCCTACGAGAAAGAAAAAGGTGGTTAAGAGTGATCGGCCATATTTAAAAATATTTAACGGTCATAAAACAAAAGTTCGTACAAATTTCTTATTATAGTACATGCTCAGTAGGCAGGGGCTACAAAAAGAACCAAGAAATAAATTGTGATTTAAAAAAATTTTTTTTAATGTTTATTTAAACATTAAGGAGAGAGCGACAGCACGAGCGAGGGAGGGGCAGAGAAGGAGAGGCAGAGAATCCAAAGCAAGCTCCAGGCTCTCAGCTGTCAGCACAGAGCCTGATGCAGGGCCCGAACCCATGAGCCACGAGATTGTGACTTGAGCCAAAGTGGGAAGATGCTTAACTGACTGAGCCACTCAGGCCCCGCCCCCTTTTAAATTTTTTAAATGTTTTATTTACTTTTGAAGGAGAGACAGACAGAGCATGAGCGGGGGAGGGGTCGTGAGAGGGGGAGACAATAACCTGTGATTTTTAAGGGTGACCAGAGAAGACTCCTTGCTGAGAAGGAAAACAGTGGTATCAATTTCTAAGTTGCCCAAAGACCAAATCTTTGAAAAGTGGTAGTAACACCCTCTTTGAAATGTAGCTGGGTTGCAGCTGTTGCTTAATTTACAATTTCAACCATAATAAAGGGTGTGTTTTCTAGGTACAGATAGAACAAAAATAGTGTGGAATGAAACAGAATTTGTCCTTAGGAAGCTTATAATTTAGTTGAGTAGGCAAAAACAACAAAACTGGAAAAGTATAAATTGCATAAAAAGGCCCATGAAAGAGATCTCCAAATTTAGAAAAAGAAAAAAGTTTTTTGTTTTTTTTTTTAACAAAATGGTTATGTGTCCTTTTGTCAAATCACAAGAACCACTGAACTCAGATTTTTTTTTCCCTACTTCCAGGAATCTAAAAGTTGACTTTACGTCTCAACTGTACTATATTAGCCTATATAATTGTAATTATATCTTACAATAAGCAGTCTCAAATCCTTTGGGAAACAAAAAAATGTAGGGGATTTAAAGGAATAAAATACAAAAATGAGAGGTCATGTCAATCAAAAACTGACAGCAGGACCAGGTAATCAAATCCCAGCACAAGTGAATTTTTTTAAAGTTTTTTTATTTGAGAGTGAGACAGAGTGTACAAGAGCAGGGGAGGGATAGAGACAGAGAGAGAGAGAGAGAGAGAGAGAGAGAGAGAATCCCAAGCAAGCTCTGTACTGCAGTGCAGAGCTTGGCATGGGGCTCAAACCCACAAACTGCAAGATCATGACTGGAGCCAAAGTCGGATACTTAACTCACTGAGCCACCCAGGAGGCCCTAAAAGTGAATTTTGAAGACCGCTATTATCTTGAACTGAAAGCTGGTGGTAATATATTAGAATAAGAAGAATTCTACACTAAAGTAGGTAAGTAGGGATGGATAGAGCATTCCTGACTCAGGACTACAGCTTGTCTTAAGTATTACAATTTTTCAAAAGATCAGATACTTAGTTTAGTTAAAAACGTATAAGTTATACATGCCTATTATTCAATCACACACAAGAGAGAAAAACAAAGTAAAAGGGCATCCGTTCCCTTCCTATAAGAAGACACTGTTGCTCCTTTTACATCCTTCCAGTGTGTGCTGTCACTTTAAAAAAATTTTTTTAATGTTTATTTATTTTTGAGAGAGACAGAGTGTGAGTGGGGGAGGGGCAGAGAGAGAGGGAGACACAGAATCCAAAGCAGGCTCAAGGCTCTGAGCTGTCAGCACAGAGCCTAAGGCGGGGCTCGAACTCACAAACTGTGAGATCATGACCTGAGCTGAAGTCGGATGCTCAACAGAGCCACCCAGGCGACCCTAAAAAATTTAAGACACAAATGACAGCATATTATGCATTTAATTCTGCTTTTTATTTAATATGTATCTTGATCTCTTTCCATCAGCAGAAAGAAAGATATACATTTTATTTGTCTACTAATTTTTAGGGTTTGCATTTTAGAGGTTAAAAGTGCAGACTGCTTTAACCTCAGACTACCTGAATTCAAATACCAGGTGTGTCCCTCACAAGTAATGTGTACATTTTTTAACTTCTGTGCCTCAGTTTCTCATCTGCAAAATGTAGATAATAACTGTGTGTGCCATATAATTGTTATAAGAATTATTAGATAAAATATGTCAAATTCATGACATGATGCCTGGCATATGATATATACTTAATAAAGAACAGCTGGGTGCCTGACTGGCTCGGTTGGGACAGCACGCAACTCTTGACCTTGGGAACCTGAGTTCAAGCTCCATGTTGGGTGTGGAGCCTGCTTACAGAAATAAAAATAAACAAATAATGAAAAAATAGCCATCATCATCACAAATACAAATATTTGTACAATATTTAATACAAATATTAAATGAGATCTAGCTCATTCTAAGCAGTGGCATTAATATTCCAGTCACTCTCCTATTGAGAAACATATTAACGGTAGTCTAAATAAGGATATTTGTCTATATACGATTGTCTACTTTTTGTGAGAATATTTGGAGAATATTCTAAAAATGCAAAGGTGATGTGCATTTCAATTTGATAGATATTGCCTAACTGCCCTTCTAAAATGGCTACATCAATTTATTTATTTATTTATGCTCAGGTAATGATCTCACAGTTCTTGAGTGTAGCCCCCCCTATCAGTGTGGGGCCTGCTTGGTATTCTTGCTCTCCCTCTCTCTCTGCCCCTCCTCTGCTCTCTCTCAAAATAAATAAATAAATAAATAAATGTATCATTTGCAATGTACAACGTGGGTTTCTGTAAAGTGGACTGAGAACCAGAAGATGCTTGTAAAGCAATCAGTACACAGAATTTTTCTGGTAAAAATGTGTTCTGAATGGCCTGCTTATTTTTGCCTTTTACCCACCACTAATTCAATAGCAATTTACAAAATGCTTTTAGCCATTCACCTTAGTTAAAGCTTTCCAAAAATGTCCAAGTTTTCACAGAAATAATTCCTTTCTTTCTACACTAATTTAAGTGTTTTATATACTAATTAAATTACATGATTACAAAAAGTACACTGGATATAAACAGGTTTCAAGTGCTTCTTAGTGACAGTCTGAGGAAGAAAACTGCAGCCCCTTAACTTAACCCAGAAGCTGCTGGACACGGACAGCCAGGCAGGCCTTCCTGATGTCTGAAGCTGGCCTGGGGGAAGCTAGGCCATGCCATTCTCCCGCTGGATGTGAACAATCTCACAAAATATCAACATCAGACAAGGTCACTCTGAGACCATGAAAAAGTGAGACAAAACAAAAACACCTCAAAATTTTGAACAAAAAATCAAGTCATTGTGCAACCTACAAAATTCCAAACCCCCCCTCCCCTGACTTCCAGCAGTGACTGCCACCTCTCCAGCAGGTATGGCTGCAGTCTCTGTGTGTGCGGCCTTCCTCCTGGAGAAGATGTGTTAAGATACCCAAGGAATTACCTCACATCCTAACAATATCCAATCCAGACCAAAAGCCTTCTTCCTTAATCCCTTCCCCAAATCACCCAATACAAAAGCCCAAATCCTATAATGGATCCTCTTACTGAAGTACCCCACAATTTCCCATGTGCATTTCCCCTCCCTACAGTGAGTAATAAACCCAGCTTGTTCAATGACAGCTTTGTTCCTAGTGGCCCATGGCTGGAGGGCATCGACAAGGCACACTCAGTTGGCTGACGCACAGGGCAGGACCACACCACGGACGGGAGACTGGCAGTATCGCTCAATGTCTTTCCAGACAGAATGGAGAGCATCATCAATCTGGGGTTGGTAAAGCATGTTTCTACCACACTTCCTTAGGCTCCATTTGTAGAAAGAGAATTACAGGGTCAAAGCATAAACATTTTGCAGATTCTTCTTGATCTGGAGGATCATAATAGGTATAATATACCAAAAATATATGTTATTCTTACACTTGATCTGGACTTCAATTTGACTAGCTCAAACAACAATTTATCAATTTCAGGAGTCCTATTTCATTTGTAACAGTATCTGAAATAAAAATATATATTTAAACAAATGTATAGTGTAACTATCCCTAAGTTTAAGTTTAAACGCTCTCTCTCTATATAACTGTAAGCAATTGAAAAAATTTAAAAGTACACAAAAAGCCTAGTATAAAAGCAGTGAACTGTACTTTTTTCTTCCCTCTGCAAAGTGTAACCAAAGAATACATCTTAAGACATAAAATTTTGTAGGTTCATCAATCCTAACAAGTGGATCACTCTGGTGGAGGCTGTTGCTAAGGGGGAAGCTCTGCCTGTATAGCGATGGGAGATACATGAGAACTCTGCACCTTCTGCTCAATTTTATTGTGAACCTGAAAGTGCTTTAAAAATAAAATCTACTGGGGTGCCTGGTGGCTCAGGTGGGTAAGTGTCCGACTTCAACTCAGGCCATGATCATGTGGTTTACGAGTTCGAGCCCCATGTTGGGCTCTGTACTGACAGCTCAAAGCATGGAGCCTGCTTTGGATTCTGTGACTCCCCCTCTCTTTACTCCTCTCCCACCCATGCTCTCTCTCTCAAAAATATAAATGTAAAAGAAAAAGTAAAGTCTATTAAAAAATCGTATTAACAAAATTTAATGGAAGCAACCAAGTGTGTACAGACAGGTGAATGGATAAAGGAGATGTGGTTTATATACACAATGGAATATTACTCAGCCATAAAAAAGAATGAAATCTTGCTATTTGTAACAATATGGATGGATCTAGAGAGGACAATGCTAAGTGAAGTAAGTCAGAAAAAGGCATATACCTTATGGTTTCACTCATATGTAGAAACAAAACAAATGAACAAATAAAGAGAGAACAACCCAGACTCTTGAATACAGAGAATAGTTATCAGAGGTGAGGTGGGTAAGGGATGGGAAAAATAGGTGAAGGGGATTAAAGAGTACACTTCTCATGATGAACAGTGAGTAATGTACAGAACTGTCGAATCACTCTACTGTACACCTGAAACTAATGGAACACTGTATGTTAATTAAA